TCTCCGCAGGGAAATGCTTGTAAATGAAGTTACCTGGGCCGCAACCAGAGTGCTGACAGGTGCATGTGCGAAACAGATGTACGAGCGGGGGCCCGAGGAAAAAGTCTTTACCCAGCCACGACTGTCGCGAATTCCCGGTGCAGAAACTGTTATCCGCACATCCGCCCAATCCGAGCCCTGCAGACGACTGTCTTGTGAGCGCAGTTTGGCATTGATAGATCTTGGCCTACTGAGAAGCAACCAAGAAGCAGATGAACATGAGGCAGTGTGTCGCGAGCTGCTACCAGTGTGACCGATCCCGTCGGAATGTTTGAAAGCCAATGCCGTGCCCTGGCCTGAAGAGCGCTGCGATAATTCTCAGCTTCCGCGTCTGTCGCAACAAAGAGCGTGACTCGCTTCTTGGGCACGGCTTCCCTGGTCAGGCTACGTGCTCGAGGTTGGCACGAGTTGCAAACAACAGGGTCCGTCAAGGCAACAAAAATCCGCAACACAACCTTTTCCTTCTGCCATAATTGCTCAATGCAGCAGCAACGAATGCAGCACTCTGCCATGGCTGTTGCACCCTTCGGCCTTGCCAAGAATCTCAATGTGTGGTCCAGAATAAATGCTTCCTTCCAGTCCTTCAACCGGGCCCTGTTAGGTGCAAGCTCATGTGATGGCTTCCATCGTCCATACGTCGGAATGACGACCTTGCAGGCGTTCGTGGCAAAAGTGCAAATCGCCTTGTCCCCCCTTGCCCCCCCGCCCTTGTACCTAAAATTCGCGAAAGCGCATGAACTTCCAAAACGCATTCACGAGCGGCTTCGTAGTCAACGGCATCTGCAGTCGTAGCAACATGTGGAGCCAGGTTGGCCCGTGGGTCCCAGCTCACCTCTGCCTGCACGGTTTGCGCACACAGGCCGTGAGTGGAATTGAATCTTATACTGCGGCATGACAGTGCTGCTGACGCACCATGGCTGAAACAGTCCCACCTGTAGCACATTGGCGACATCCGCACTAGTACTTTTCTCCATCAAACCCACATCCAGGTGTGGAAAAGCTTCTGGTGAAGCTTCGACCCCTTCGCGGTAACATGTCAATTTTCACACCCTTGCTACAATCCTTCTTGCATACGATGTAATTAACATGAATATGTAGCCGGCCGGTGACACATGAAGGACGATAAACTGTCTAAGCGACTTGGGTTCCAACCACAAACACATGGCATGGTTTGCCATCTTGAAGCAGCCGAGCCGAATACAAATGCAAAGACACGTCGAAACAATCCGACAATGCCCTAGAGCGAGCTCGGCCGGAGACCCAAAGGAACCTACAGGAAACGTCATGGTGTTTGTAATGCGCAAAGAAACCGCAAGAAGCAGCCATGGACCTCACCCTGCGGCAGCCTACGGCGGCGCATGCCAACGTGCGTCTGCCAAAACCTTCGTGGAGGTTGGGCTGGGCTCCAATCCATCGACTCGGCCAATGGCAGGCTCGTGGCGTACGCTCACGACTACGGCCAGGCCAAGCCGCAGAGCAGAGAGCCCGGCATGCCGTCTGCACGGCAACCTCCACTATGCTCGTGACCGCTTGTTGCACCGCAACAGGTAGCATGCTCTATCAGCGACCTGGTGCGACTGCGGGCTTACGGAACCCAGTTCTGCTGGCCGCTGCGGCTTCAGGGTAGACACACCGCGATTTCAGCGCCTTCTGGCGTCGCTGCCGAACACGGCAATCTTCTGCGGCCCTTACGATAGAGTCCGAGGTTCCGGGTTAGTGGCCGTCTTGAGTCGCCCTAGGTCGCGGCGCAGTGCGCACAGCCAAACAGCACTGGCCATCTGCACACACGGTGGACGCGGAGGATCGGCCATAAAACCAACGCAGAACGGCCGGCGGCAGCTCGGGCGTTTAGTGAAAATCCTCATAAGTGGGTCCCGCATCGCGGCTCGCATGGAAGGAAGGTCGGACGTCTTGCAGAGTGAGCACTGCTGTTGTTCCGCTGCTAAACTCACCGCATCCACACATGCGACATTCAGTCTGCACTCCTTGCTCACAGTGGCGGGGAATGCGAGGACATGCATGGGGGCCGTCGGTACATGCTGTTTTTTTTCCGCCTGCAAGGTGGCTGCCCTTCACTGCTGCCAGGGCCAAGCTTTCTACCCGGCTACGAAGGGGAGCTTCGTCGCCAACCGCTACGAACGCAGCGGCAAGCGACTGGGGCTCGCTGCTGGTCCGGCGACTCGAGCATTTGCTCGAGGGGCGGCTCATCCCTCCGACACGGGTGGAGCGGCACTGGCCTGCCCCGGTGCTGCACTCGCGGCGGCCTGCTGCACGGCTACAGCCAGCATGCCGCACCGTCGATCCACAGCGGCTGCGCGGCGGAAGAGCTGGCGGAGCTGTTGCGACCGGAGGCGGAATAGGTGCTGCACGAAGCGGCCAGCCTTTCCATTCCAGTGCCCGCCGACCTCCGAGCCCAGAACAACGAGCTCTTGCGGTCCGCCGCTGCAAAGCTCCGGGTATGTGGACCGTTTGCAACGCTCGGCTAACCTCAGCACGGCAGCATCTGTGTCAGCGCCTCCCGGCTGTGGATGCCCCGTCCGCCCAAAGACCTTCCTCCGACCTCTCGCGCAGGCCCGCACAGCCAGCGCACCTGTCGCCGTCCGCCGCCGCCGCCTCGACCTTGTTGTTTACGGGGCTACTCCACTTGGCGAGGCGTTGTGTTGCGACGTCACACTCGTGTCGCCTCTGACGCGTGAGGGACGGGCCCATCCCTCTGCTGCCACGCGCGACGGCGCTGCCATCGTTGTCGCAGAGTGGCGCAAACGTGTGGCCTACACTGAGCTGCTGCGACCCGGGCCGCAGTGTTTTTGTGTCCTTGCCTGCGAAGCTGGGGGACGCTGGAGCGCTGAATCCCTACGCCTGGTCACCCAACTCGTGCGACTCCGAGCCCAGCGCGGTACTGCCGCCCTGCGCCCCGCAGCCAGGCAGGGCTGGCTGCGCCGCTGGTGGGGCTTCTTGAGCGTGGCTTTGCAAAGCACACTTGCTGCCACGCTGCTCGGAGCGCCGTACATCGCTGGCGCCTTGCCTGGGGCGCAGCACCCGCCACTCGAGGACGTACTGCACGATGTAGTCCCTCCCAGCCCCAGTCGCCTCGGCCCGTAGCGCGCAGGTTGCACGGGGACTTGGACTTGCGAGTTAGGCGGACGTAAAAAGGTGCGTGGAAAAAAAAATACAAACGCAGACGCAGTGGAGCTGGTGAGGCGCCTCGTTGGTTTCCGTCCGCATACAGCCTCCCCCGGCTGTGCGAACCCCTGCGAAAGCAACGTGGGCCCGCCGATGGTGGAGCATGCTCTCCGTGGCCGTCCAACAAGCCGTCAGCCACACAGCGCTCGGGCGTGCTAGGGCCATGCCAGGACCGGCGTGGGTTTTTTTTCCACCAAACACCTTTTTCCGCCAGCGGCTGTGTCCGGCTCCAAAGCACCGAAGAAAAGTCGGTCCCCGGTTAGGGCCGACTCATCGCAACAGCAGGCGGCTCAGCCCGTCCGGTCCGGCCAAGTCCAAGACCTCATCCAGGGCCGGTCGGTATGATACATGGGCATTGATCTAGAGGTCCTTGTGGCTGTATTTATACAAAACGATCATGGGCATAACATGACATGCCAGCACGAAAGTTGCACGATGGGTCCGCTAAAGAAAACTCTTTGTTTGCTAAAGTTATTGTGTTAGCATACTTGCCCGTTATGACTGTTACTAGCACCACTGCTACTACTACTACTACTGCTGCTGCTGCTGCTACTACTACTACTACTACTACTACTACTACTACTAATACTACTACTACTACTACTACTACTACTACTACTACTACTACTACTACTACTACTACTACTACTACTACTACTACTACTTTTGACTTTGCATCGCAGCCACGTCGAGCGAAGCTATGCGTCCAGTGGATCAGATTCTGAAGGAATCCGGCTGCTCCACGCCTTTTCAGCGATAACAGCAGTGTCTTATGACACCATCCATAATTGAGTACTTGGAAATCGCAAAACGAGAGTCCCGTGCCGTAGCACTAAGCAGACTCAAGAGACCCGTATGTTACGGATCGTGCATACTACCACCCTCGAGTCTCCGGAGGCCAAACAAGTAGCCGTTACGGTCTATGTCCACATGCTGGTGCCCTGCAAACTGAAGACCAACGTTGTCATCTGAAAGAAAGTAGGAGGGCTCTCGCTCTGACTCAGAAGCTGCAAGGATTGTCATCAGAGCCGCACGATAATGACCTGAAGTCGGTGCATGCCCGATGTGATAGACGATCGCCACAACTTCATAAGTGATGATGCATGTGGAACCATCATCAGCATTGAGAAAACATGGGAGTCGCACCAAGGATCCAGCTGGAACCTCAACGGAGGAGTTGTCCTTAACCACAGCTCCCATCTGATAATCGTACCGCTTTAAGTTCAGTACAAGACATCGGGGCGGTGGCATTGTCAGAGCATGAAGAGAGGCCTGCTGGAAGTGCCAATCAAATACACAATGTTGCAGCGTATGGCCTCGAACATCCATGACCAAAGGGCTGTAACAGTGTCCTGCATCTGTCACCGTAAAAGGCATTGTGGATGCAGGTTCAGATGCAGGCGCATCCGGTGGTCGGCGAGCTTGCCACCCGCCTTGAAAAGCAGGCGGTCGGGAGAAGGCAAGGAGGTGCCCAATGAACTCAGCAGCATCGTGTTGCTGATGTAGGCGAGACCAGCCTGCAAGAGCAGTTGTCCAGGATGACAAGGAGGTTAAGTGTACCATGCCTTCCAGAGGGATGCTGCTCATTGCCTGCTGAAGCCTGCCAAAGTAGAAGACCCCATCAGCATTGTCACCCATGCAAGAGAGCATGTGACAACATGCATTGATGTAGCATACATTGGTGTGATTTTGCAAAACAAACATGGGCATGCGATAGTGGGCAGTCGAGCGCCTTGGAGGATCGTCGGCGCCCTCAGTCTCGCGAGACTCCAGAGAGATCACTGGGCGGGCTCCACCTTCTTGGTCACCTGATCTTCCTCCATAGCTCCTGTGGGCCTCGAGCCATCGCGCTCGAGCTTGCTCGAGAGCTCCACCCCCGTCTCCTTGCGCATTGGTGGCGGGAATCGTTCCGCCAGGATCCTTGCCAAGGGTTGGCGCTCCATTTTGGCCGGTCGCAGACGCATGCCCACGATCTTGCCACACGTGTTCCCGCACAGTGTGGTCAGAAGTCCCCACATCTGCGCGGCTTGCGGGGTTCGCATACCGATGGTCAGCAGAAAAGTGACGGTCTCCCCCTCGTACTTCTCCACCATCCTCCGCGTCGAGTGAAATTTGAGAAGCACATTGGGGGCGCCCGCTAGCTGCTGTATCAAAGTTAAGCTTTCCACGATCTGACTTTGCGGGAGCGGCGCCACGTTCGGCACCGGGACCAATTTCTCCTTCTCTGCTTCCCACTTCACATAAGGCCATTGCAAGTCCTTCTCCGGCTGGCCTTCCATGTTGTAGGCATGTCCCTGTTCTCGGATTTGATCTCGCAGCTTCTGGGCCTCCGGGGTATCCGATTCCAAGGCCTTGAGTCTCGCCAACCAAATCTCCAGAAGCCCTAGAAACAATGCCAGGCGTAGCGAGCAGTCGACCGTCCCCGCCTCCTTGCGTGTCTTCCACTGAAGTGCCAGTGAAAACAGCTTGCTGAGAACGGCTCCCTCCCGAGTCTCCATCGTGAGGACAAAGTCGCGGTCCGTCCGATTCTGAGCCAACTCGTCATCGTGTCGCAGACACAGATTCGCCACTATTCTCAAGCTTTCCTCCAGCGCGTGCTCCGCATTGGAATGCTGATAGTAGCCCTGGCCTTGTCTGCGATGTTGACCCCAGCCTCCCTGTGACCAGTTTCGCCGATTGCCCTGGTTCTGATGCCCTCTCCAGCCTTGTCCTCTTTGTTGAGAGCGTGCCGTTGGCTTGTCCATCCTTGCTGTCTCCTCCGGCTGCTTGTTGCCCTCCGTGCCCTTCGCGAAGGCCGCCGCCGCCGCCACCAATGGATCTGTTGGACCGTCTCCAGAAGAATTCGAGGGTTCCTGAGGTGTGGTGGGAGCTGATCCCTTGCCATTCCCCCCCGCTCCTTTCGACACCGGTCTCTGAAACTTGGGCCTCGTCTGATCCTCGAGCTGACCCTGCAAGTCCTCCTGGTTGTCTCTCTTCCCCAGGCTTGGGTCCACATTCATCGGCACTGCATGCTTCAGCAACGATTGTACCTCCTGCAGGGGAGTGAGAGGTTCTGCCGAATGAGCCATGTAGATCCAGAGGAATGCTCGCAGGAGTTTGGCGTTCGGGGTGGCTCACCTTCATGTAGCACAAATGCTTCAGCAAGGTGCATTGATGTTTTGTGCCTCTTGCAAAAGTGGCACCGCAGGCACCGCACGGACTTGAACGAGTGTAATGAACCGTACGACACATGGACTGTACCTCAGCACTATTTTGATACACCTCAGGGTGCGAGTGTCGTAAGTGATTCTCCAGAGAACCACTCCGAGATGCAAGCCACTGTCCGCAGAATGCACAATGATTGCTTAGACGCTGTTTCACACCCGGAAGCCAGATGGCCTCATACCAGGTTTTGTCTAGAAGCTTGTCAAGTACATCACGTCGATCCTTGATCAGGACTGTGGTCTTCTGTGCGGGCTCCGCAGCGGACTGCAAAGCAAGCCCGACAGCTGATTGATTGCTCGTGGACTCTGTCTCTCCATGTGCAGACTTCTTTTGTGCATCCCAGACTTCACAAGAGTTAAGAATGTGCATGCGAAACTCCTGCCATCCCACAAAGGTTGCTCCACAATGTCGGCAAACTGGCATACCATCTACACTATGGAGTGACATGTCCAGTTTCTTGTACTCCTCGCCGCCTCGTATCGCCTGTTTCCCAAGCTTGATGCCGTGCTTCCGTGCATGATGATTGCGCATGATACTCTGCGTCGGGAAGCCTATGCCACATGTTGGACAAACATGTTGTCGAGCTCCCGGGAGAAGCTCTCTAAGCCCACGACTAGCCGCAGCATGCATAGCTGCAGAAACAGGGAGCGAGGCTGAGTCCTTTTGTGTAGGAGCTGGCGGAGTCTCACCTCGTGCCTCGTAGAATGCTGTCCGAATGGGTTTCAGACCAACACGCTCAAGCAGTACAGTAGTAGCCTCTTTAGTAATATGCACCGGGGACTTCGCAATCGCCCTCACATACTTGATGTCACGCCTGTGCAGTAAAAGCAACTCCTTCTCCGTCAGCTTCAAGGAGCTGATGCCGTAGAGCAACACACTTCGCACACATGCTGTGTAGATTCTCAGTCTTTGTTTGATGCTCAGGTACTTGGAGGAGTGCAGGACCTTCGCCAGGCGTTGTCTAGCTAAGCCAGCTGACTTCAAACGATGTTGCACCGACGCCTTCTCAAATCTTTGATAAGAGACGATGATCCCTAGATACTTCACCTGTTTCACAATGGGAACATGGTACTGGCGAACTCCACGAGTAAAGCGAAACACTGACTTCCCATCGTGGTGTTCTGTGTGTTGTCGGAGCCAGCGTGGTCCATGAGTACCAACCAATCGTATGAGCAGAGCCGACTTCGCAGGGTTGATTTGCATGCCGTACTCCTGATATATTTCAAGGATTGCAATGGCACTTCGCTGGAAAAAGTCTAAATCAGCTTGGCAATTGAGGTTCCAGGAGCAGTGAGTATCATCTGCATACAGCGTAACAGAGTCCCTAGGCCACGTGCTTTGCAACCGGTCCTCCAATTTGCTAAGCAGAAACACACTGAACAATGCCCACAAAAGTGGAGCTAGGGTGCACCCCTGCTTCACTCCATTCTCCATGGCCACCATGCCTGTATAGCCTTCGTGGTTGATATGATAGTAGCAAGCACAGTGTGATTCCAGTATCAAAGAGATCAGCATGGGGTCAACTCCTGCCCACTCTAGCGACGACTGAAGATGCTGCCGAGGTAATCTATCAAATGCTGTAGTCATATCCAGCGTCAACTGCGCACCTCCAAGGAATTTACTTTTAGATTTGCCGGCTCTCTTGGAAAAGATATTCCTTCTGTCTTCAGCAACCCGATCACGAATTTGAGCGCAATGGTCAGAAACCCGCTGGATAGCCTGTGCAGTGGACCGGTTACGTATGTAAGCAAACTGAGGATACGTCTCTAAAAGCGGCAGAATTTGATCAGCAAGACGTTCCTTGAGGCATCTGGAGATTGCTTTGCCTGCTGCATCTTGTATCCCTAGAGGTCGTAGTGATTCAGGTCTTTTGATAGTCTTCCCCGGCTTCGGGATGAGCGCCAAATTGCAGTCTGACCAATGACTAGGATATCCAGCCATGGTTTCGAAATGAAAGGCCTCAGTCAGCGGCCCCGCAAGCAGAGTCCTGCAGAATCGCCAGGCTGTGGATGGAGCATGCCCCCGTGGTACCGCTTTGCCCGCTCCTAGCTGACTCAAAGATTGTAGAACTTCATGTTCCTGAAGAAGAACAGGTTCAAGCCTGGGTGCCGGAACAACTTGATGCACATGTGTAGTGAATAGAGCACGAAAATGTTCCAAGATCTCGACATGTTCCATTTCCGCTGTGAGCAGTCCTCCTTCCACTGTGCGAATGCGAACCCGACCCCCTTGTTGCTTGGGTGCCACAGCCCTGATGACCTGATAAAGTCGCCGAACATCACGCTGCTGCTCCGCCTGTTGAGCAAGAATAAGTTGCTCATGCAGAATCTGTTTGCGATGTTGCTGCCCTCTGTGTTTAAGCTCTCGATAGCACCTCTGAAAATCGCGATGTGCACGGAAGGCGGCAAAGACCTGTCGCAGGGAAAAGAGATGAAGCCGGACATCATGCCCAACTCGTTGCATAATCCGTCTTTTCCGCCACATTTCTTTGACAGTGTGTTGCACCTCCGGTTGTTGCCATGGGCGAAGTCCAGGCGTAACACCTTTGGCCGGGAAAACCACGCCACAACATCTGAGGAGTAAGGTGTTAAGTCCTCCCGCCGTCGGTTGTTCGAGATCCTCGAGCTGAGCCTGTACCATCTGAAAAAGCTGCTCCGACTTAGGGTTCTGTGTTCGCAGAGCTTGCTCAAGGCCAACCTTGTCGTACTCCACCCCAGGGGGCGGCTTGGGTTTGGCAGCAATCCAACCTGGCTTAAGTTTGACTGAAGCCTGTACCGGATGATGTTTGGATCCTAATCGCCAGGGGGCAAAATCAAGATCCGGCCTGGGTCCCGCCAGTCTGGAAGCAGAGTCCGCATGCAATCTCCTCGTCATGACATAGTCAATCTGGCTGCGGTGCTGACCGTTTGAGAACGTGTTCATATCATGAGTGCGACTCCTGCTCCATGTGTTGAGCATGCAGAGACTGTTCGCCGCAGCAAATCCCATGAAGTCGTCCTGATCGAAGTAGTATTTGTTGGGCTTGGGTGCTGAGAATCCAGCAACCCCATCTTCACGCCTGGCTGCACAGTTGAAGTCACCCGCTAGAAGCAAAATGTTCCGCTGAGGCAGTGTCGACACATAGTTGCCAAGTGCCATCCAAAATTGCTCCCGCCTGGAAGCATTGATGGAGGGAGAGTCCCTGCTGGATATCACGTGTTGATAGCAACTGATCAGATCAATACTGTACTTATCACCACTAAGGCGAACGTGTAGAATGCGTCCCGGCACAATAGGATTAAATCGTGTGATGTACGATGATGCCACTGAAGTCCTGATAGCAACCGCTACGCCTGCAAAGCGTGTATGTGGATCCGGAGAGCTAACAAAGGTCCAGGCCCCAGCCTTCCACTCGGCTGGCTCGCTTCCGAAGCCTCTGTGGGTCTCCTGCATGAATAAGACATCGAAAGAGGCCGTCTGCATCCACAACACCAGTGAATCATATACTGCTGAGGTCATGCCATCTAAGTTGACTGTAAGAACTCGTAGTCTCCTGGCTGTACGATTGTGCTTCTGAGCATCAGGCCTCTGAGAGGTACTCGAAGGGTGTCGCAGAGCTTCAAGCCCTGCACTGGAAAATTGTCGTCCGCGATATAGGGTGCTGCCGTTCTTGATCGCTCGTCGTACCGCCCGCCTGTAGGATCGCTTCCTGCTGGTCGGTATAGTCGCAGCCCTTAGTACATCACCGGATGACCCACGTGTTTTCGCAGCTGCCACATTGGCAGTTGCTTCCAGCGATCCCGTGGGAGAACCGCTAACCCTCGCGTCTGTAGTGGCTGTGCACAGGGATGGTCCTAAGATAACCAAGTAAAGAATAACGAACCAACCCCAGAGACAACCACCACCTCGGGACTTGGGACCCGAGCGGCTCGGTTTTCTAGTCGTTCGTGGCGGCCCCGTTGTTGACATTGTAAGCATAGGCCTGGCCGTGGTACAAGGACTGTGGGTGTTGCTCCAAAAATTAAGCGAAGATTGTCTGCAAAGGGACCAGATATATCGTGGATATTCTCTGAGGATGCCACCCAGCAGGAGCATCAGGACGTGGACATACACTGCCTGGCAAGCGAAGACATACTGGAAGATCTTCTGTATGGTTTCCCAAGCCATTGCATGAGAGCATGGAGTCATGTGCGAAGGATGCTCAGGAAGAACGCTGCATTCGCCATTTTTCTTCTGCTGTGTAGTCGAGAAGCGCTGCAAATGGTGCCAGACAATAGCACAGATCTGTGTCCCTACCTGCCTAAGGAGATTCCCGCACATACAAAGAAACTGGCTACTCTTTCGTCTGAGGCCCGAATCCAAAGTCCGATGTGCTGGGTGACAAGGGTGAAGTCTCAGAAGATTCCGACTCTTCCTCCTCGTCTGCAGCTGCGCCAGCATCCGTTCTATCATCCACGGCAGCCTCTCCCCCGAACACGTGTGGATCGTGCTCACAAGCCTCCTCCTCGCCGGCCTCTTCCTGATCCCCGACATAAGCTGCCTCGTCATGCATCCGTCCTGTATGCTCACCAATGGTACATGAAGGAGGGGGATGACTCGTCCAGCCAGGTGCCTGCGAAGGCCGAGCATCTCCTTCCACTTCGCGTCGGCGCCTGGCTTCGCTCGCCAGCTCCCTGATGTCGATTGCCTCAGAGTCCTGCGAGGAGTGAAAGGAGTACGGTGAGTCATCAGGGCCAGCTGTGCTGCCTGCATTCTCGCCCGTTGCATGAACTGGCTGCGGAGGTGGAGGTCCACGTGGTGGCTCCCCTGGTTGCGGAGGTTCTGGTCGCAAGTATCGTACCCGAGGTCTGTCCCCAGAACTTCCAGCCCCTCCTGCCGTCTGGCCCACAGCATGGGTCGCATCCGTTGTTGATGCTTCTGCTGCCATCCTAGGTGGAGGAGGAGAACGAGAACGAGAGCTTGAGGTCTCGCGTTCCATCGCTGGCTTTTTGTCCTCCGCCATGTGTGTGCTAGCGAGGTGCAGGATCTTAAAGATAGTGGCAGTTCATCAGGCTGTGTCCCACATGTCGCTGTGTTGTGCTCACCACCGGTTTGAGCCCTGTACCGCCTAAGGCCAAGAAGAGCAGAAGACATGAGAAGCAGAAATGCTATGCAAAGCATATCCAGCAGTACATGTGCAAATAACATAGCCCGGAGCGCCTGCTCCATCATCGGCACCGCAGTGCGACAACCGCGCTGCAGTCGACAAGCCCCTTGAAGAGCCCTTTTCAGGAAAAGATGCTGAAAATCAAGATCAATCCATCTGTTCCAAATCCCGCACCACAGCCAGAGTGGACGCATAGGCCCCAGCAAGCACACTGCGTGCAAACTCTGAGTTAACTCGGAAAGTGTCCTCAATGAGTTGTGGTCGCCAAGCTGGAGGAACCCAATCCCAGACTTCTTGCCAGACTGTGTATGAGCCCTGCTTTTGCCAGGCTGATCCAAATGCATTCTGAATCCCCTGCCTGGTCGAAACAGACAAGCCCCGGACAGCCATGCAGAGGTATTCCATGCTGAGATCAAATATACGTTTCTCCAGCACGTCCTGTTGAAACCACCACACTGCACGTCTGGGGATTTTGTTAGACCCATGGGTCGGGCAGAGCTCCATGCCAACAGCTGCCATGCTTGCAGGCGTAGGCTATCTATGCTGAAGTGCACGCAACACACCACAGCAACCCACGTGCAAAAATCCCCGCACTCGTCGTGAAAAACCGATCCCAAAATCGAAACCGAGAACAAACAAAACACCCAACCAGCCCTTTGCCACGGCGACAGCCTGTCTTCGGCCGCCATCTGGTCTCTGAGCCGAGACGCTTACTACTACTACTACTACTACTACTACTACTACTACTACTACTACTACTACTACTACTACTACTACTACTCCTACGCCTACTCCTACTCCTACTGCTAGTACCAATACTAGTAACTGCACTGATATGCATACTTGTATTTGTACTAGTACTGGCACTGCTCCTGCTTATGTGTATATTTGTATTTGTACTAGTACTAACCACGCAGCAGGCTCCAGGCAGATGCCAAAATGTGGTGTGGCTAGTGCGTGTACCGCGGAAGATCCGTTAAAGTTCCGCGCAAGTCTCGTGAAAGTCGAGGTTGCCATATCAAGGCAACGGCCCATTGTTGTTTCTACGGCTACTACTGGCACATACCTACCGTAATCCTTGTGTCCCGAACCCTTAACAGGCCTCAACCATAGCCACGTACCCTACAAGCCGAACGTTAAACCCTAAACCCCTGAACCCTAACATGGGACCACATCTAAAATGCACCAAAACGCCTATACTAGAACCCTGAAAGAATCTTATAGAGCTTGTAAAAATCCTTCATAGAACTCTGGTATACTAGTACCAACATATACTTGAATATGTGTCCGCGAAAGAGCGCACGAAAGTTACGCTAAAAAAAATTATATTTTCGTGAAGAAGATCATTCGGGGATATATTAATTTAGATCAACGACCACATGCAGGACGCAGGATTCAGCTTGTCGCGGGCGTAAGCTCAAAGCCAGAGTGTCGTCCGCATAAATCAAGTCATTGACGAGCGCGGGTGGAGAATCAAAGCCTCAGACGGATTGGAACTCCCGGGCACCGTCATTAAGATTGAGGAGAGGAATGGCGAAAGCGGGCATCCTTGCGAAATGCCAAAGCATTGAGTATGTGAGGCCGATGAATGACCAGACGCGGGACGGTGAAAGTCTTAATCTTTCGAGAGCACAAAGCAAACTGTTGGGACTGATAGAGTCGAAGGCTTCTTCCAGTCCAGGGACAGCATCACCAGACTACCATTCCGGTCTGCCAATGTCAAGTCGAGCAGTCTGCGTGCAACAAAGCTCGCGTCAGTCCTGCCACGCTTGGTGCGAAAAGCAAATTGTTGTAGGCCAGCTTCGATCCTCAGCTCCAGCATTCTGCAAACGTCTAAGTAAAGCCATGTCAAAGAATTTATAATCAGCCGATACAACGGTGATGGGGCGGTAGTTTTTGCACGGACCGGGATCACCTTTCTTGAAAATCGCCGTCACTGACGCGTCATGCCACGAAGATGTCACCATCACATGCTCACGGATTGCGTTGCAAAGTGTAGTGGCCCACCTACACGCGTACACGCGGGAGAAGTGCGGGAGAAGTTTTGGGACAAATGGTTTTCCAGAATTCTGCTGGCACCTGGTCGGTTCCCGTTTGCTTTGTTGCGCCGCAAACGTGAAGCTGCTGCAATAATGTCCTCATCATTGAACGGCCCCGTTTCAACTGGTATAGGCAAGCCAATCGGGCTAGCAGTAGTTGCAAAAAGACACGGGACGAACGGCCCATTGTACATCTTGAAAATACATTGCCAATGATTCTGCATGAAATTCACTTTCCACAACCTCGCCGTCATCATCGCGCAAACGTCCGCATTTGGGTGCGAATCCTTTGCGTAGCTTGCGAATTTCGTTCCAATCAAGAGATTGCAATAATCATCGCGCTGAGTGATTCGGCGCCTGTGGAGCGAGGTGCCGCCCACGCCACCAATCGCGGGTCTGGGGCCGATTGGCTGAAGTCGTCCCCGCGTGCTTCTGCGACGAATGCGATGGCAGCCAGTGTGTCGTGCAGGAAGAAACGGGCGAGCTGACGCTGCTTCGACTTGGCGTCGCCACTACACCCCAGTTGAAGCCTCCGCGGTCCATGCCAGCTGCGTGGAAGCACGTCAAAGCGCGAGTTGGTATGCTGGGTGAACGGCAGCGACGGGGGAGGCACATGGGCGCTCGGATTGGCGGCTGGCTGAGCGGCATGCTCGCGGTGGTTCCGCAGCAGGACCAGCGACTGCACACTCAGCCTTCCAGGCATTGGCTCATGTCCACCTCCCACAGTTGCACCGCATGCAAGCGGGGGCTGGGCCAGGGACCTGAACGCGTACCCACTCCAGCTCGCAGGAGCAGCACATGCAAAGTTATACGGCCGTCCACCGTGCGATGCCGCCGGGCCCGCGGTGCGGCACAGGCGCCCCATGCACCATGCAACCGAGGTGGGTAAAGGCGCCGCAGCACGAATAGGAGGTATCGTGCGCGTCTGGTGCGGTGGCCGGGCGTTCCAGACAAAGGGGGAATGCCGCTGGAGCATCGCCTCCAATCCTTGGGTGCAATTCCTGGCGCCTGTTGGCGCGGCACCGTGCCGCCGCCGTCCCCACCATGCGGCGACCCACCGCGATCTCGCAGTCGCCGCGCAGCGCGCCCTGGGTGCCTCCCTATTTGAATTACCTCCGGCGGAGCTGCGTGAACTCCTCGCTGAGGCGCGCTGACGGCCTGATGCCAACTGCCCGATTGCGTGGGGCCCCGCCGGTAGAGGTAGCTGATAGTAGCTCTAGAACGCAGCTCACACGGGACGTCTCGTACACTGCTGCCGCAAAACGGTGCGCTGCAAACATTGGTGGGAAGCGTGCTTCGCAACAACCCTGCATTGCGGGCCGCACCCCCCGCACCCCCCCCGGCACCGCACCTCCCGCACCCCCCGCACCACCGCACCGCACCCTCCGCACCGCCCGCACCACCCGCACCCCCCGCACCCCCCCGCACCCCCGCACCCCCCGCACCCCCCCGCACCCCCCACCACCCCCCGCACCCCTGCACGCCCCCCCCGCCCGCACCCCCGGGACTCCCCGCACCCCCCGCACCCCGCACCCCCGCACCCCCCGCACCCGGCACCCCCGCCCCGCTGAAATATGTAGAACAGAGCATAGAAATCATGGTATAAAACATACATATAGACATATGTGTATATTTACGCATACATACATACATGCATACATACATGCGCATGCACATGCACATGCACATGCACATGCACATGCACATGCACATCCACATGCACATCCACATCCACATCCACATACACATACGCATACACATACACATACACATACACATACACATACACATACACATACACATACACATACATGCATACATGCATACATACATACCTAGTAGTAGTAGTAGTAGTAGTAGTAGTAGTAGTAGTAGTAGTAGTAGTAGTAGTAGTAGTAGTAGTAGTGTAGTAGTAGTAGTAGTAGTAGTAGTAGTAGTAGTAGTAGTAGTAGTAGTAGTAGTAGTAGTAGTAGTAGTAGTAGTAGTAGTAGTAGTAGTAGTAGTAGTAGTGGTAGTTAGTAGGTAGTAGTAGTAGTAGTAGTAGTAGTAGTAGTAGTAGTAGTAGTAGTAGTAGTAGTAGTAGTAGTAGTAGTAGTAGTAGTAGTAGTAGTAGTGTAGTAGTAGTTTAGTAGTAGTAGTAGTAGTAGTAGTAGTAGTGGTAGTACTAGTAGTATTGGCAGCATTGGGAGTGGTAGTCGTCGTGCTAATGGCAGTAGTACTGGTAGTGGTAGTGGCAGACATGGTTATGTCCTAGTGGTCTGTAGTGGTCATGATCGCGGTCGCGGTCGGGGTCGTGGTGGTGATGGTGGTCGCAATACCAGTAGTCTTCGGCGTCGCGTAGTAGCCTTTGTGATGGTCAGCAACACTAACCCGAGCTTGCACGGTGGATCTTGTTTCCGGACTTCGTGCTCTCGAATCCTGCAGCCCGAGCAATCTCCACGCTATGCTACCTGGCGCCCAGAACCTCTGGCCCATTGAAGCATATTTAGCACCAGTAACCTGTTGTCCTTTTGCATTTTGCTGTGAAGCTTTGGCCCTGGATCCAAGCCCAGAGCACTAAGCGTTAAACTTTCGAAAGAGCAAACTTTACATTGCACCCTGCATCAGACCTCCATACACGGAACATGAACAACACATTCGGCACCCGAGCAGCGTCGATCTACTTGACTGTTTCGGCGCCGCGCTGTGACGCCGGGCCTGTCTCTCATTTCTGCGGAGCAGGCGCCGACCCTCCTGAACAGGAATGTTTATTTAGGAGTTCCGGATGGAGAGTCCCAGCGTTCCGGGCCCTCGACACACCAAGGCACATTAGGAACCCCACCCTAACTCGAACCCGAACTGGAACTGCTCCAGTTCCAGTTCGAGTTCGAGTTAGGGTGGGGCACGACCCATTCCCCTGGGCCTTGGACCCCTTGCTAACCCTGAACTCGAACGACCCATTCCCCTGGGCCTTGGACCCCTTGCTAACCCTGAACTCGAACTGGGACAGTTCCCCGGTGCACTGAGACTGAACTGCAACTGACACCGAATGCCCCCCCCCTCCGAAAAAAAAACACCTGAAACTGACACGGAACGCCACCCTCCCTCTGCACTCGGACTGCACTGAAACTGAAACTGAAACTGAACCCCCCCCCCCCCGCCGGAAACAAAATGCAGTCATACTGAAACTGAAGCCCCCCCCCCCCCCCTGTGCCCCCCCCCCACCCGAAAAAATTTTGCATTGATACTGAACTGGAACTGAAAGCCCCCCCCCTTCCGGAAAAGTTTTTGCAAGGACAATGAACTGAAACTGAGACTGAACTGAAACTGAAACTGTACTACTACTACTACTACTACTACTACTACTACTACTACTACTACTACTACTACTACTACTACTACTACTACTACTACTACTTCTGCGACTGCTACCACTGCTAATAGAACTACGACGCCTAGCACTACTAGTACTACTACTACTACGACGACGACTACTACTCC